TGGATGGGAGACCTCCTGGGAATACCGGGTGCTGTAGGCTTTTGCTGTGGCCCTTTTGCTTCCCTCTGCTCCCATGACGTCATGCTGGCTGCAGGATGACAGCAGCAGCTTTTGCGTCTGGCGGCAGCGTTCCCTTATGCTGTTTTCCCCGTATCTATGGACTCTTAATCTGCGTTTTCCCTTCTGTTTTTTTGGCTCTTTATTCGTCGTGGTTTGTCATTTCACTCTTGTCATTCCCTTCTTCTGTCCACTGTCTCCGCTGTCTTTGCCTTCCCTCACTGCAGCAGGCTCTAGTCAAACAGCCCAGTTGTGTCTGCAAGGGGCCGTGCCATGCTCTGCAATGCCCACTGCAGAATCCCGTCCCAGGTTCCCTGTGGGATCGCCCGCAGTGGTGCTGTCAGTTCCCATTTTGACACTGTTCGCAGCCCCTCTTCTTTACCCATTTCTCATGGTGTTTTCCATAGTCCACCACACTGCTCTGGAGCTTCCCTGTGTACCCAGCATACACATGCTGTGGCTGGACTCCATGTGTCTTACCTCACTCAGCAGGGCATCGAGCTCTTCCCTGCTGGACGTGGGCTCGGTGCTCGCTGAGCCGTTCTCCAGCTGTGGGAGGAGATGTGTCACCCCCACCTGCGCTCATGCGCTCGTTCCGCTCCTTTACGGCCCGCAGGCTGTGGCCGCAGCGCCTGGGCTGTGCGCTTCCTCCTCCGCTACAGCTCCGGCGTCCCGCCCATCTCTGGCTGCCTTGTCCCTCCCCCGCCCTCATTCCTCATCCGTCGCACCCCCCTACTCCTTTCTCTCTCCCTCTCGGGCTTTTCCTCCTGGCGCCTTCACCCAGCCCCGCCTGCATTCCATGCACCAACACCGGCCCTGGCTGTACCAACCTTTGCTGCCTGAAGCACGTGGTTAGCAGCAGCTGCGGTGCTCTCCCGGCTGCCTATTTCTGGGGTGCCCACACAGGAGCCGCAAAGCCACAGTCCTCTGCAAGCCAACGAGGTATTTGCAAGCGCACCGAGCAGCAGGAAGGAATGGAGAGGCTTGGGCTGTGACGAGGGGACTCACCCGGGGTCTCCGTCACGCGTAGGGCAGCGTTGGGGTGCGGAGATCCTGGAGAAACAGCGGCTGCAGGTGCTCCCGCGGCTTCCTCCCGTCTGGGCACCGTGCTCCTCCTTCTCTGGGATCGCAGGGAGCTGCTCCGCAGCCGCATCTGCCTCCCGCAGCCGGCCCAGCTCGGCCACACATGAGCTGCACTGCCACGTCCCACTGCACGAGCCCAGCACAGCTGTGAGGGGCAGCGGGGCCACGAGGCACGGTGGAGCCCCATCCCGACGCGGGGCTCACCTCGGGACACGAGGCAGTGGGGGCACCAGGCACGGGAGGTGGAAGGCCCTGGGACAGCCGTCGCAGCAGATGAGCTCTCCGCCGTCCCCGCACACGGCACACTCATCCTCGTTGTCCTACCGTGGGTGGGCATACAGGGGCTCGCCACTGGGATCCGGGCACCTCCTGTCCCGTCTCTTCCCATCACAAAGCTGATCCATGGGCTGTATTTGGGGCAGGGATGTGGTGCTCCCAGGCTGTTGTAGGGCTGTGACTGTGGGGCGGCTGAGCCGCAGGCTGGCTGCAGTAGGCCAGTCGAGAGGGATATATTGGGAACACCGTGATGGCATCACTTTGTCTTTTGGGATCACCTGGTAGGGTGCTGGGTCCCGGCTCTGCGCAGGTACTGCTGGCAGGTGGCCCTGGGCGGTCACACACATCTCCCCGCTCTGTGAAACAAGGTTCTTTGGGGACCCATTTGCTGGAAAGGAAAGGCCCCTGCTGTTGTGAGGGTTTGTGCGGCTGTAAGTGTGTGTGTTACTGAGTGGGGACTGTACGCTTTGGGGTGCCCTTGGTCGAGAAGTAGGCTTCAGGCTGCGGCTCCTGCTCCTGGCCCCCAGCTCCTCACCAGCAGCTGGTACACAGAGCTCATCCCTGGCTCTGCTGCTCGCCTTGGCACTGCCTGGAAGAGAGCAGAGCGCTGCTTCAGCATGTTCCATCTCTGTCACTCTTGTCCATCTCTGTGGGCCTTCCCAAGGAGGGGTGCTCCTGATTTGGGGGCTGAAACTTAGTTTCTGGTAGTCTTGGGGCTGTCCCGTGCCTGCACTTATTCAGCTTCTGCGCTTGTCTGATAAGGACAGGCTTTTCCTCAATAGCCCCACAGGTGACAGGCACCACACTGATGGCACCGTGACCCCCTCTGCACTGAGGCAGCCTGGAAGCCTGTGGGCAGGGGGGCTCAGCCAGACACTAGGTTTCTACTATGGCCCCAAGATGTGCACAGGCAAACACTGCTTCATTGCTGCCCCTGGTTTGCCCCGCCCACACCTCTGCCCAGCCTGATGGCTCTGGGGCTCTCATGGCCTCACCCAGACTGTCACCACACAACTCGGATTGCTTTGGGGAGAAATTTGTCCCCCCAGGTGCCAGGAGATTGGCACTCACCGCTGGTACGGGGTGTGCGTGCAGTATCCGCGCTGTCTGGCTTCTTCACAGTCTTTGCCTTCGCCAGGAGCCCTAGTGGTGTTGGGGGGGCTGTCACCCTGGGTGACACCACAAGTGCTCCCCTATGTCTGTTCCCCACATACGTCCCACACTAGGCCTTCATACCAGGGCTGGTGGTGTGCCTTGGTGAGGGTTGTGCCACCCGGGCCCCATCCCGCTCCTCAGCTTTTCTCTTGCCTTGGGGTCTGTGTGGGGTCGGTCCCATGGAGCTGGGGGACGGGCACCTGCTGCTGCACTGCTGCCCGAGGTCCACCTCTGCAATGGGGACAGAGAGGGGCACGGTCAGACCACTGCTCGTGTGCAGCCCTCAAGGGTGCTGATCCTTCCAGCCTGGCTTCCTACCTGCGGGGAAGGCGCTGTGGAGGGGCCGGAGCCGGGTGTAGCGCTCCAGGTTGTAGTCCTTGAAGAGGACAGCCCAGAAGTCGCGGACGGCAGCGGCATCGCGGCCCAGCAGCCAGGTGAGCAGTGCGTGGAACGCGCGGTGGGAGCCCTCTCGCTCTGTCTGGCTCAGCGTCTCCTGCCGATGCCACCGACAGCCATGGACACACACGCGAGTGCAACCAGCCGGCCCCGGTCCTCACAATGTGGCTGGGACCCCCCGCATGGCCTCACCTTGAAGATGTGCTCAGGGACGATGTCGTGGTCGGCAAGGCCGTGCAGCAGCGGGAAAACATCATCCACCGCCATGGCGATCTCGGTGCGGTGCAGTTTCAGCAGGTGCCTCAGGTCTCTGTCCAGCCCCAGCCCGGCCATGCTGCTGCAGCCCTGCAGCCCGCCCTCACTCTTCCCTTTAATATGCACCCCGGTTGCTGGAAGCTCATCGGGCTCCCCGCTCGTTTCTGTACAAGGCCACGTGGCGTGGTGTCAGCCACCACTAATGGTGAAGGACACCCAGCGTCATGGTGACCACCCCGGGAAGGCTGAGGAGAGGGAATTAGGCAGATTGCTGTTACAGGCTGCCCCCACCTCCCCATCCCTGCGGTCAGCCAGGCGTCATCCCAAAATTTCTGGACTTTCCACTGCACCTGCTCCTCTCATCTAGAAACTCAGCCCTATGTGGGAAACGGTGCCCTGCAAGTGAGGGACAACAGGAGCGCTTGCTTGTTACACCTCCTGCACAGCACTGCCTGCACACGCCTGGCTTAAGCAGGGCAGCTGATGAACACCCAGAGAAGAAGTGCTGATGCTGAAGAAAGTGCAGATATATCTGGGCGCAGTTACTGAGGGGGAACGGTGCTGTAATGCAGCGTGTCAAAGTGACAAGTAGTGTTATGAGCACACCTGGGGATTACCTGGCTGCATTCATTGCTCTGTAATTGCCTGCTATGGGAAATTGGGCAATAAAGTGATTTCACTGGAAATGCTAGGAGCCAGGGGGGCAGGGAATTGGCACTGTGTGAGCGCCTCGTGTAAAGAAGCCTGGGGTGATGTGATGTAATAGACATGGTTGCTCCATCCCAGGAGAGTCTGGGACTGCCCCAGCACAGTTTCCCTGATGCTGCTTGCATAGCCAGCGCAGAGCAAGTGGGACCAGGAATGGGACCAACAGGGAGCCATCCCCGCTGTGAGGTACAAAGTGCTATGGGTAAGGATGTCTGTCTGTACGTACAGCATAGCTGTCCAACCTTCTGGCTTGTTTGGGCTGTGTTGATTGAATGGGAGTTGTTTTGGCCTGCATATAAAATGTATATTAGTTAATGTATATATGTAACAAAACTTATTTATTTTTTTTAATTAAAAAACAGAGCAACAAAGACATAAATCTAGTGGGGTGTTTGGTCTTGTGGAACTGATGCCTCAGCCTGGCCCCATGGTTGCCCTTCCCAGTGAGCTCTCGCAGTGTTCATCAGAGAATTTTGGTGAAATATTAATCTTCCTGTGCTTCATCCTTGGCAATAATCATTCAGGAACGTTCATACTGCCAAAAAGCAATGACCTTGTTGTGAATCAAGGGATACTTCTCTTATTTTCCTGTGTAAGAGAGGGCTTATGGAAGTCTGGGAAAAAGATCTGACAGATTTTTTCTTTGAGTTGAATGTCTGATTGCAACTCTACATATTCCATCTGAATATTCACATGTAATGTCTTTATTTCAACTGAAACTGGAGTTACAAATATTAAAAATTTTTTTTGAACTCTTGAAACCTATTCCCAAATCCCTTTATTGCAACAGAACGTATGGATGCATATATTTTGCTGTTCACAGGCTGCTTAGTCAGTGGATCACAATGCATGAAGTGCATTGCCATCAGTTGGGTTTGCCACGATTTGTGTCATTTAAAAAGCTGTTACTGTCTGAAACAGCACAGGTGAGTTCATTTTCACCTTGAAGACACGTGCTTAGCTCCTTTAAATGAGTGGTCAAACCACTAAAAATGCTGAATATGTGACCATTATCTGTCCTCATGCTGTGGTGCAAATTCCCCTTTGGGGAATTTCATAAAGTGTTTGATTTCACTTCAACAAATCATAATATCATTTCTGCATTTTACCCCCACTCAGTCACCTTCCTTCCTTCTGAAATGATGTCCCCACAAACAGCAGCCATTCTTTTAATGGTCTCCTGGAACTGGCCATGATTCAGTCCCTTGGGCTTTATGAACTTCACAGCTTTGATGGCAATTTGCACAGTGTTACCCGTCTTTAAAGCTTTTGCACACAAATTTTCTGGACATACAATGCTGTGATGTTTCATCAAACTGACAGCAGTTTCTTTATCTCCTATTAACTGTAAGTCCCTGGCTGTTTTCTTTTCACCAACCATTGCCAGGGCACCAACAGGAGCTGCACCAGATATGCTGACAAAGGTGGAAGAGAAACGCTTTTTAATGTAATTTTTTACTGCTTCATACAAATCAAGAGATTGAGTTGCATCTTCAGTGGCACCAAAGTTGTTACTTCAGTGATACTGTATTTGTTATTAGTTGGTCTAGGGAAAGCGGCAAGTTGAGCCATATCTGCAGCATGAGTACTTTCATCTATTGCCAAAGCAAAACATTAGAAACCAGCAGCTTTACGTTCCAAATTTCCTTAGATAGATTTTCCTGTTTCTTCAGTTCACCTGGCCAGTCAGGTGGGACAAACTGATGTTAGAGAAATCCCTTTTCTTAATCAGGACACCCTGTATGGCAAGCATGGCAGATACATCATTAATAAACAGTCAATGGTTAGAGGTTTTTTGCAGTCAGTTTTGCTACCACGTCTCCAGCTTTTGTAACCGAGCCCATTTGAGTTTTAATTTTTTTTGAAAGACATGTAGTTGAGGTTGCAGACTTTTTTTCAGTTCAGCTGTTCTGTCTTTACAAAGCTTTCCTCGATACGCATCGAATCTGGCAGCACATTTCTGCATTAATGCCCTTTCAGATTTCAATCTTCGGAAGCTGGCACGATTTCCTTGTAAATTAAGCACACTGCTGTATTATTTGTCAGCACAATGTGCCCTCCTCGTGTCCCAGGACAGAGCCACGATGGCACAGCAGTGCTGTGAGTGGCGCTGGGCTGTTTGTAGGTCACAGGTCGGATGCGCTGAACTGCAGCATGGCTCTGGTGGCTACAAAGCCCTGCCAGCAGATGGTGGCTGCTGTCCAGAAACTTGAGAATAACAAGAAGACAACACTGTCAGCAAGGACAGGAAATACGCTCATCCATTTCTGGGTAATAACATTCACCTGAAGAAACTCTTTCCCAAAGCTCTTCTCAGGATTCAAAGTGTTTTTTTTTCCCTTGGAGGCCCTGGCAGCTGTAGCATGGGAGTCAGGCCAGTACTGCTTCCCTGTGTCCCACCTTGCACTCTCACAGTCTGTCACCTTCAGCCCACGTTAAGCTGCCCAGCACCTCCAAGACAAGGCTGTGACACAACTGCAGGGGCAGCTCTCGCACCCACAGCTACAGAGGTGCTCCCTCGTGCATGGGTGCAGCCAAGCACAGCTGAGAGCTGTGTGCCCACAGCACTTCGCTTGCTGAGCTTGACCGGACTTGTTTTGAATTCCAACTTTGTGACTGCACCTGTGCTTTGAATCACAGACAGATTGTTTTCCACATCCAGCCAGCTCAGCAGTGCAGTAATTTGCATTTTAGCTGCTTTTTTTGGTGTTCCTTCCCCTCTCTGAGATGCTAGGCAAGAGGCAGAGCAGGGGCTGCCAAGCACCATACAAAGAGGCATGTACTTACTGGGAGATGGGATGGTTATTTCTGTAGCACCTTGCTTAGAGCAGACCTTGGCAGTTCAAAGGCCATGAAAGGTCAGCTGTTGCTTGCAGAGAGGAGTCAGACACTCCCTGGGGCTGGCAGCAGCCCTGCCTGGCTCTGCAGGCTAGAGGCTGGCATGCAGCAGAGGCTGGTCACACTCAGGTTTCAGGATGTCCTTTTCACAGTGCTCCTCCTGCAAAAATCAAAGCACAAGTTTTAAGGCAGGGGAGCACCGTCCTATGTGCCATCCAGCTGCAGCTGCTGACAATGTTTTCCACAAGCACCCAGTTAAATCGGCACCTCTGCATCCATCAGGATTCCTTGCAGCTCCTGGGTGCATCTCCAGTCCCTCCTCCCATGAAAAGCTGGTGAGGTAAAGGAGCCATTTTCACCATTTCTTCCTTCCCCATTTCCTTTCCGAGGTCCTGCAAAGCATTCCCCCACGTGTCTTTCAGTCACCGCCTGCCCTGCACTCATCTTAGAATCCCCTCAACACGTCCCTGAATCACAGTCAGGAGAGCAGGCAGAAAGGGGAACCTACACAGAGGGGTAAGACCATGAGATCACTGCCAGGAAGGAGAGGCTCTCTGATACCGATCTCTCAGTGCCTGAAGCACACGGACAGCCAAAGTGAAACGCTGCCACCAGGTGCAAAAATTTCAGCCCTCTCCCCTTACCTTCTGCTGCTGCTGCAGGACTCCGACACTTTTGGGAAACAGGCTCCACGTGGGGCTTCTAGACTCTCCTATCTCTAGAGGCTTGCCTACTGCTGCCCTGTGCAGTCCAGATGAAAGCAGGTCCACCTGCTTGCTTTGCAGCTGCTCCTGCAAGAGCCTGGTAGGGAGAGTGCAGCAGAGATTTATTTCAGCTTCAGTTTCCTCTTTCCTCCCCCTTTAGAAAGAAGAAACAAAAGCCCAGAAGTATGTTATATTAATTTATTTGGGACACACCAAAAAAGGAAAGTCAACAACCGTTAACGTACAAAAGTACAGAATCCTGGGACAAGATTTACTGTCCTGATTAAAAAGGCACCATGGTCCCAATGAAGAGTAATCAGAATACATCATTATAGAAATCTTCCCCCTGTTGCAGCAGAAACAGAGCCAGGCTTTGGCTCTATCCACAGTCAAACCCAGTTAAGAAACAAACATGATTTAAATGCAATAAACACTGCTCAGCCTGTACAAGATGGCATGAAACGAATCACAGCCTACAAGACGGTCTTGCTTTTTTCTCTCTGAAAACAGCTAAGGTGACAAACAAGTGGATCACTGAGGAAGACAGCAGACTTCTGACTTCTTCACCTCGGCGTTCCGTAAGACACGTCAGTTGAACTGAAACTGGCAGGCTGAGCATGGGGCTTCTGAATGCAATGCAGTTCCCTGTGGTATACGGGAAGTCAGATTTGACAACCTTAAATTCCCTGAATCCCTGAAAATCGTAAAGCACTACACAGCTGTGTTCCGTATTCTGTTCAGCCCTGTCGGGTTTACTTTACACATTAGCAATTATAACATCAGCTATATCTGTAATACAAAGGGGGGTTTACAGCAGTTATTTAAAAAATTCTAATTCTGCGAGGTCCGAGCTTGGCTATATTCCCTGCTGAAACAGAGCTGCTGGTGTAGAAGCCCAGTGAGAGGCTAGAGTCCAGCATCTCAGGGCCGGAAGGCAAATAGTTTCAACGTGACATAATTTGCAAGGGGAAGTCAGTGAAGCACGTCAGAGAGGAGAGGGCTGCAATCTCTCAAGCAGAGGAGGCTGAGGGGTGCTGCAGAACGCGGGTACATGCTATCAAACCTGTAGCGACACTAAAGTGATGCAGAATACATGGAGTTCACTAAATATTTTGGAGCAACTTACCAAGAACTCGTCAGACACACAATAAGGATCCCGGCAATTACTAACGAGCAAGTTCACTGGGAAGCTGATGTACTGCTCAGAGCCGGGCAGATCCGTCCTCAGGAGGGACAAGGTGGATGCAGCTGGAGCCTGACTACGCAGCAGGGCCAAAGGCTGCTGCTGCCTCCTCTGCTTCCTAGCTCTGCTGCACCTAAATTTCAACAGCAGCTTGATTTGTGTTTCATTCCTCCTTTGGCATAGGACTTCAAAGCGGTCCAAGAACCGTTTCATCAAAGTAACAGGAACTGTCAAAATTATTTGTACATGCATTTATTGTTAAAGGAAGCAAAAGCTAAAGAATGAAACAGTGCGAGTTAATAATCAGTAAAATGATATGCAGGACATTGAGGAAAGAAATGGGGTAAAGCTGAGATACTGGAGTGGGGAAATGTTCACACTGAAAGGTAAATTTGAAAACCAGGCAAGTTTGAGCTCTTTCTATCAGAGTGTTTCTGAGGACAGAGACTTGCTGCTTTTTTTGTTTGTTTGTTTTTTAAATGTAATCTGGCAAGGTCTGGGAATCTCAGCAGGGAGACCCTCCAGTGCTGGGTTTTGTACAAATTCAACTCTCGTACTTAAAAACCAGTAAAGCAACCGTAACTAAAAACAGCAGATACCCTCGTACTGCATATATCTAAAACCAGACATGTCACTGCTTAAGATACACATGGGCAAGAGGATTATACTTCTCTCAAATAAACTCTTGGTGGAAAACTACCATTTCCACTCTGCTGGTCAGCACGTACCTACAGGGGATGGAAAAGCAAGTCCAAATTAAGGAGCCTTTTGCTGCAAATACCACAGCTACACACGGGAAGTTTGCTTCTTCCCTATATCCTAAGATGCCAGGATAATATTTTATAAAGTTTTTCCCATATTAAACTAAATAATGCAATTTGCATCTTTTCCTCTATCTTAATACCACCCCCCTCTCCCCAGGAAGATAAAACTATCAGTTCGTTTAGGATTCACATCTCTGATCCTAGCTTAAAGATTTTTATATTAAAACTCATTCAATTGCAGGAAGGTTTATCCTGATCAAGGAAACGTCGTCAACATAGAATCCAGTATAAAATATTCAGAATCATCAATGTTTTTACAGCCAAAGCACTCAGACAGCTCCTGATCTCTCTTCTCCTCCTCAAGAAGGAGAGCAATCCCTTTATGAAGTCACAGGACGCCTCTCTGGGACTGAGTAATACACATGAAAACTAGCTTCCTTCCTTGCAGAAATGCCAATTCTGCTGAAAGGGGCTGAGCGACCTTCCCTCCCACTGAAATCAGCAGGAGTTAGGGCTTTTCAGCACATTAATTTTCCATCAGCAACAAGTCCAAGTTATTCCCTGCAGTAAATCGGAGTCCTGTTAGGCCACCACTGGCTCAGAAATGGTGAGAGACTTCCAAAAACCCACTGATGTAGACAAGACCTTGGAAGAAGAGGCTTACAGGCTATATAAACTGAGATCGTCTGCTACGTTTGAGCCTTCACACCATGAGTTGATGATTACTTATCCTTCCAAGTTCATGTGTTTTAGTCCTTGCCGCCGCTGCTGTCCCAGCGTTCCTGCCCGGATGTTCCTGAGCTCTGGCTGGGGATCTCAAACAATCGCTTCCAATTGATTGTGGGATTTCAAACTTGCCTAACGTGTGTATTGCCACCCTGTACTCCAGCAGCTCTGCTTGCTGACCACGGCATACACTAGCAGTTTTCTACCTTCTCCACAGTCTCGTAGAACCCAGGCCTAACTCTCCTGATGCTCATCCGTATATGCTGGCACTCCAGGGGCATGGCATCGCTGGCAGGAGTCGCGGCACCGGCCGCCCACGCCGTGCACCGGCGCTTCCTTCTGCCCCTCAGCGAGAAGGCTGGAGCCCCGCCGTTCTCCTCCTCCACAGGATAGACCTCATCCACGCTCGTGCCTTCATCCAACTGCTCCTCGGTTTTGTACGTCGTTCCCTTCGCTTTGTTGCCTTCCTTCTCTTCCCTGGCGAGCTTTCTGAAGTGCTCCAGACACTGTATCTTTTGTCTTCTTTCCATCATTTTCAGCTCCTGCTTGTCTGTGAAGTCTTCATAGTACATTTTTCTTTCGCTTCTTTGATCTTCAAGAAACTTCAACTCGATGCCAGTCATTTTTATCCCGCTGCATTCCTCCAGCTTATTTCTCATGTGCGTGTCTGTACAAAAGATGTCAAAGAGCTTCTCAGAACTCTCGTTGAATTTGTCCGCTCTTTCTGTGTAAGCCTGGTTCTGCCTCTGCTTTCTGGTCTGGTACAATCTGGTAAACTCCTCGTACATTTTGAGGATAAGTTTCTTTATGCTTTGCGTTCCGATGGTATGCAAGTTGCAAACCAACCAGTGCTCTTGCAGGTGCTCTGCAAGCAGCTGAGCCGCATCCTCTTTGGACCGCTGGGCCTGGCCAGCTCTTTTGGGCTGCAACAGGTACAGCATGTTCTGAACCACATCCTTCTTCGTCGGCAGGATTCCCTGGGTGAAGCCTGAAGACTCAACATACTCAACAGTTCCCAGAGTCTTTCGTGCCTTCACCTCAGTATCCAGTGATTCCATCACTGCGTTCGTCTCGGAGTTACGACATAACCTGAAAGACAGCGACCGAAGACAAGCACGTGAGATGAGGCCTTTTTTACCGCAGCGGAGGAAAACAGATGAGGAAAGGCGCTCAGACCAATGAGATCGGGGATTTGCCGTCGCGCCCGACGCAGTTGGATGGCCGCCGCGGTAGCCCGGCCCATCTCCCTGCCTGCTCACCGCGGCTCTCTCGCTCTTCCGCGCGGCGTGTAAAGTCTAACAGAGCGCGTTTGTTTACGTTAATTACGCTTAATACTGCAAACGGCAGCAAACCGAGGCCGCCCGGGGCGCGGGGCTCGCTCCCGCCTCCTCGCTCCCGTCGCGGCGGGGCATCGCGCTCCGCCCGGCCGCCCGCGCGCTGACTGGCACTTTTCCCGGCCGCGCAGGAAGCCGGCCCGGCCCGGCCCCGGGGCCCCCATAGCCTCGAGGCGCGGCCCGCCCGACCCCCGAGCCCGCCCCGCGGCGCTCCGCCGGCTCCCCGGGCCGATCGGATCGCGGTCCCGGCGGGGGCACGAGGCGGGCGGCGGGGGCGCGGGGCCGG